CCCCCGGCGCCGCACCCCGCACCGCGCCTCTCCGCGCCTCACCGCGCGCCCCCTTCTCTCTCCGCAGCCCTGACAGTATCTCCCACGCCGGTGGTGTTTTGTTTTGCCTTCTTTTTTTCATTTCGAGTCTCTATTTTTTTTCTTTTGTTATTGCTACTTCTACTTTTTTATTTTTTTTTATTTTTATTTTTAGCGACAGCTTTCAAACCTACTTTGGGGTCTTAAAACGAAACCGTACACCATTTCACTGTGGACATTACACCCTCTTACAGATATGGGAGACATGGGAGACCCACCAAAAAGTAAGGCGGAATTTTTACCGTTGTTGGAATAAATGTGCTGTCTATTGTAATCGTCTCAGGCAGGAGAACTGCTAAAGAGCTGAACTTCATTTGAATGGTAGAGAAGGTGCCTTTGTTGCCATGCCTGCATGCTTGCTGTGTTTTAAGCTCGTAGCCTTGTATGTTAATAGCCTGGGGTCCTGCTCTCTTTTAAAGTTTGGGGAGCAGGCGGGATTTTAATGGGATCTCCAACCACGGAGCCTTAAATTCTGCTCGCGCTAGACTGCGGTGAGGCTGTCTGACTACCCAGCACCTAGTCCGTCTAGGGGGATTAGCATTAGACTCGCAAAAAAGAGCAAGTGACAACCGTAATCATGCTTGTTCTTGCTAGCAGCCTCGAGTCCCCTCTTCGACGGCAAAGGGCTGAATGGGCAGCGCACCCAGCCACGCGTTCACCGTTTCCAGTCAGAGCCTCTTAAAAAATGAAATCGAACATATAGGTGCTCTCTCCGTAAGGAAAGGAATCCAAACAAGCAAACAATAAAATAAAAATAAAACAAGGAGGGAGTTTGGAGTTTTGATTCCGTGCAAGGCTTGCGAAATGAGGACCTTCACCCCGAAGACTGTTCACATCTGCATTTTAACATATGTTCCGCCTCCTTTCTAAACGAGGCACGGTTTTGATGGCACACTTCAATTACCATCCAAAAGTGTAATACTCTTTGAAAAAAACCAAAAAACCACACACTCCCAGAGTACGCCCTATAAGGGAACGACACTAAAAGTGTGTTTATCTCCGTAGGAGAGTAAACGGTTAGTCAATCATGTATTTATTTTCATTTCAGAAAAACGCCTGATTTCCCTATGTGTTGGTTGCGGCAATCAAATTCACGATCAGTATATTCTGAGGGTTTCTCCGGATTTGGAATGGCATGCGGCGTGTTTGAAGTGTGCAGAGTGTAATCAGTATTTGGACGAGACCTGTACGTGCTTTGTTAGGGATGGCAAAACCTACTGTAAAAGAGATTATATCAGGTACGCCATTTACATTGTTTAATTCTTCGGTGAGATTTCTTTTTTTTTTTTTTTTTTTTAACTTTATAAATCTGACAGAGACAGGAAGACGAAAAAATGTGAGAAAAAGGGTGAAAAGACAATCGGTATGTTTTTAAGTTATTTCCCCATAGATAGACAGGCGAGGAAAAAAGTTAGAGTCGTCAAGTTTTTTATTCCACAGATTCAAATGCAAATTTCTGTATAAACAAAACCACATTTGAGAACAGCTAGCGACTGTGTGGGACCCTTCTGAGGACTTTGGCAATGCATCCTGTGATTCTAACAAAGTGGGAAATCGTAGGTAATGGAGAATGTTTTCAATAGTGTAGATATTATGAGCAACACGGAACTGATCGCTTTTTAACACAAACTGAGAAACGCATCTCTCTGTGTTTTTGCAAAGGCATAATGGCATTCATAAGAAAGGCACTTCAAGCATGTATGCCGTAAAAATAAATACACGGGGGAAAAAAAAATATTTAAACTAGGCCTATCAGAAAACAAAAAAGCACAAGAAAAACAAAACCGAAGTTTTCTTCAGAATGAAGGATCCTTTTATGGGGAGGTTAAAACCTAGACTGAAATGTTTCTTCGCTAAAATAACTGACATTTAATCTTTTTAAATATTAACCCCTTTGGTGATATCTGCCTGCCTTTTCTTTCTTATCTTATCTGTACTGATGAATTAGACAGAGCAGATCAAATTGCCCATCATCTGTTCGCGAACAATTGGGTATATTTAGATAATGGAACCGCTTCCTTCCTCACATTAAAATCTGGTAACTGATAAAATGTGAGAGTTGCCAATCCTGACACTATAGAGAAACCGAGCAGGAATTTCTAGTGTGTTTATTATTTGTGCTCCTGGGTCATGCTGATCCGTTTCAGTGTCGTCTACTGGGCCAAACCAGAACTTTGTATGACACTGAGGTATGGACGGTATGTTTTTTTACAGAAAGTTTTTTTGTAATTCTGAATTGAAATAAAGCACTTGAGTCTTTCCTTCTCCAGCGCACAATTCATAAGCAGATCATTCCTGCAAGCCATGTTGTGAGATTATTCTCAAAGTTTTACCATGGTGAAAAACAGCCCACTTTTCTTTCTCTCTTTCTCTCTTTCTCTCCCCCCCTCTGCCCCTCTCCCTCTCTCCCTCTCTCCCTTTCTTTCTTCCTTCCTTCCTTCCTTTCTTCCTTTCTTCCTTCCTTCCTTCCTTCCTCTCTCTCTTTCTTTCTTTCTTTCTTTCTTTCTCTCTTTCTTTCTTTCTCTCTTTCTCTCTTTCTCTCTTTCTTTCTCTCTTTCTCTCTTTCTTTCTCTCTTTCTCTCTTTCTCTCTTTCTCTCTTTCTCTCTCTCTTTCTCTCTTTCTCTCTTTCTCTCTTTCTTTCTTTCTTTCTCTCTTTCTCTCTTTCTCTCTCTCTTTCTCTCTTTCTCTCTCTCTTTCTCTCTTTCTCTCTCTCTTTCTCTCTTTCTCTCTTTCTCTCTCTCTTTCTCTCTTTCTCTCTCTCTTTCTCTCTTTCTCTCTTTCTCTCTTTCTCTCTCTCTTTCTCTCTTTCTCTCTCTCTTTCTCTCTTTCTCTCTTTCTCTCTCTCTTTCTCTCTTTCTCTCTCTCTTTCTCTCTTTCTCTCTCTCTTTCTCTCTTTCTCTCCCCCCCTCTGCCCCTCTCCCTCTCTCCCTCTCTCCCTTTCTTCCTTCCTTCCTTCCTTTCTTTCTTCCTTCCTTCCTTCCTTCCATCCTTCCTTCCTTCCTTCCTTTCTTCCTTTCTTCCTTTCTTCCTTTCCTTCTTTCCTTCTTTCCTCCTTTCCTTCTTTCCTCCTTTCCTCCTTTCCTTCCTTTCCTTCCTTTCCTTCTTTCCTCATTTCCTTCCTTTCCTTTCTTCTTTCCTTTTAAACGCACTTTGGAGCCGTGCTTTTAAATGTTGTCCTTTCACTAATTTCAAATTAAAGGAAAACGTTTGGACTGAGATGTGCTCAGTTACCTCCTGCTAGAACCCAGCGGGCGAAATTTAAAAAAAAATGCAGCTCCTTTAAGTTAACACAGAATACATTTTATTTGCTACAATTTTAAAAGTAAGATGTATGTTATGTGCAAGTCGACTTTGAATTAGACCGTGAGCCAATCTGTAACTGACAGACACGTGGGCAACCCCCCCAACTTTTGTACCTATTAATGCATGCACTTTGCGATGGCTCTGTTCTTTTGCCGTTTAGCTGTTTGTCTGGGTTTTTTTCTTCTCAAAACCTTATAATTCGGAAATATGTAGCTCTGAATATAGGATTAGTACACCACAATAGTCATAGCAGCTAACGATGTGTGTAAATAAACATCTATACCCACAAGCATACATCAAAGACTGTATCTCTAAGGAAGTGTACTGGTGAGGAAATGTGTGGGGATGAATGTTAGCTCAGTTTTAGGAACAGCTTTTACGGTTCTGTGGATTGTGTGCGTGCATATGTGCGTGTATCCATACGTTTGCGGAAAGATGTTAATTTTACTTAAACCAGGGAGGCTGGCTAAGGAGGACTCGGTGGGAGCCGAGAGACTGTGCAGTTTTAGTCACCCGGGTTGGAGCATTTTCTCATCCACGGATGGGTGAACTGTCCCCCTCTCCTCCACGGGAGACAAGGAACCCGCCACCCACTCCAGCGTGTAACCCCAGAAACCCATTATTTGCCGTGTGGGGCTGTCAGCAAGAAGTTGCCCTTTCACTGCTGTCGGAGGTCTTGAGCCCCGGCTCAAGGTGGGAGCGTCAGCAGGAGGGAAGACGGGGCAGGGACGTTGAGGTGGGGGCAGGCTGCAGAGCCAAAGCACCCAAAATGCCTTTTAGTAGAGGGCGGGGGAGGGGAGTTACACTACTATATATGTAAGCGTGTATATAGATAACAGGGTGGTATGCCTATATTGTATAAAACGAACCTGGTGAGAGAAGGTAAGGGGAAGAACCCCGGCCGCTGGCAGAGCCACTCCTGCTGCGCCCCAGAGGCTAAGCCGCCGGCAGCCCCGGCACGCGTTAAGCGGCAGAAGTCCTGAGTGGGTTCCTCGCAAAAATAGCACCATCTGGTGAGGCTGGCACGTTTGTGCGTGGGGAGTGGATGGCAGCTTCGCCAGCCTCGCCTTTCCCCGGTGTACCCATGGCGGTCCGGTTCAGCCCCGGGCCAGGCTAGGGCAGGGCCCCCGCCCCGACGCGGGGGGG